ACCCATGACGCGGCGCCTCACTCCATGCGGTCACACGGAGTGCACTGATTCCTCAATAGAACTTATTCGTCGTCCATCCCTTAAAGCTGCTTCTGTTGATGATGGGCCTTAGAACACAATAGAAGAAAATGGGCAATGCAGTAGTACTGCGACAGCGCCAAACACAATGATTCCCTCATATCGGGCAATTCTCCAATCATGCCTCGTATACACACACACAACTAACATACTATGTGAAAATCACCCAATGTTTTTCACCAGAAACCAAACAACCCCACTCCCTCCCTAATTCCTTCTGCCACTGTTATGTTCGATAGCGTTGGTCATTTTTGGGCATTCGTCTTCGGTGCTGCCGCATGGGGCTGGTGCACCCGCACCGTATGCACACACAAGCATCCAAAAATATATAACCCCCGCAATATTTTTTACCAGAAATCAAAAACCGCCCCTTTCCCTCCCAATTTGTTTTACTATTTCCGTGGCTCCTCCACACTTCGGAGAGCCTCGTCTATTCCAAAGTCTCCGGATGATATTGACACTTGGTACTGGCGCACCTTTTCCCTCCAAAACGCCGCTATTTCACGGCTTTCAACGTCGCTCACACTATTGGGATTGACAACATCACATCTCTGCCAGCCAGTCATCGGCGTGCTGTCTGCGTGCTGCACACAAATCATCTCCCACGACATGTCTCGGGATAATTCCTCCCAACCATCAAAATACGCCGCCAGGCACTCAGTGAACTGCCTCACAGTGCTGGCGGTGGTGTGATGCTCACCCGCCGTAGCCATCCGCAGCCCAACCAGCGTCATTGGATTTGGCTCCACGAAGGAAAAAAGGCGTCCACCAGCGGAAAGTATCCAACCGCCGGTATGCACAGCAGCCAATGCTTTATAGCATTATTTGTATGGTATTCCATTGAAACCAATACACATATAACCCGGCGGGGTGCCCTTCAGGGTTCGCCCTCAGCACTGCATACCGTCCTCCACGGCGTGCTGGTGGCCCCAGCTCCTTAACGTCCTCTACTAATGCACTGACAGACTCCCCAAAACATGAATGCGCGCAAGTCAAACCCTTCCCATACATTCAGACAAAAGAGTACTCCTCTTCCCCAATACTAGCAACAGAAAAAAAATATCTTCCTCACTCATCACGCTCCCTAAACCAGTGCGGTATTCGATGCACGAGGCAAAGGGGTATCGGTGCGTTCAGAAATCCCTCAGCACCGAATTCTCCTCGTGCTCGGGCAGCCCTCACCAGCTTTTGAGACGGATCCTCAGAATACCACAGTCTCACTCCCCCATCTGTAAAGTGCTTTTCACCATCCCGGGACTTGATCCCATCCAAGGCACTCTGAATGGCAGCAGAGTGTGCAATGAACTCATTCGCATCGAAGATGTAACGTGGAATCGGCCCCACTTTATCCATGCATCCTTTGACTATCCTCCATTATTCCGCTTGCCCATCCGTAGCCCCATCGCGCCTCATCCACGCACACATCGCCTTTACATCCGTCCAGTCGGAGCAATTCGCAATGATTCGCTCGGCTTTTAATGGCGTCTCCCATTCACCGTGGTTGTGCACGTTTAGGGGCGACACCAAAATCATGCCCCATTCATCATAGGGCAGAAAATAACCCGCTGGCGATGTTCCTTGCTCTGCGAAATCGTAGATAACATACCCTTTCATCCCACAATCCCACAAACCCCACAAAAATTCCTTGGATGCTTCACTACCCACTTATCTCGTCACCGTATTGGTGGTCCTGTCAAACACGTACGTCGTACTTCCAACAAAACTTTAGACAACCACCTCGAGCTTCTCGACATCGTAGTGCAGCAGCTGGTAGAGGAGGTACGAGCCGGCATTCACCGACTTCCCGATCCCGGGCGTCCCAATCAACACACGTCGTCTAGGCTCAAAGTGGTTCTCACCGTGAGTGCTGAACAATTCGGTTACATCGCCCTTGACGATCCGCCACACTCGATCCACCTCACAGTTCACATGGCAGCCACGAGTGAATTCATCCTCCTCCCACGAGTACGGCCATCCCTCGTCCGAGGTGAGCACCATCAGCCTGAAACGCGGTGCACCAGATTGCTGCACTCCGTCATCCTTTTCGAGGGATTCGCCAACTGCCGTGTACGCCCACGACTGCGGTGGTTTCCCCTCCCTCACATCCATTCCTATCCCCTCGCCGCCAACAACCTTCACGACACGGTGCCACCTCGCATTGTACACAGACTCGTAGCATCCCTCCTACAGGTATCTCGGTGCGCTCGACGTCGTTGGGTCCCTCGCTTCCTCGGCGTCTGAATCCAAAAACCCTTTAGCGACGTCATGAACATTTGCTTTTACCTCCGCAGAAGCCACCAACCACTTCAGTAGATTGCACACGCCATTATCGTAAAGCTTATTTACATCTTCTTCCATGTCCATTTCATCCCGTACAGCCCCCTCCACCCCCCACATAACGATCGGATGCCTGTATTTCGCCCAATACTCCCGCATCGCGAATATACTTCTCAGGGTCCTTAAAAAACGCCTCCAGCAAGGCCTCCCGATTGGCGTCCGCAGCACCCCTGCCGTCCAATTCCATCGCAGGAAAATCATTCAGCTCCTTTTACTCGACGCAACCCCTTCCTCTAAACAGTACATCTTCGATCCTGGTGAAAATAGCACATCCTTTTTGCTGGTCCCGCCCTGCCCTTTCTTCTTTCCGTATCTGAGTTAGAGCTTCATTTGGTTGTCCCTTGCGGAAGGACTGACCGTATCCTTCCCTTCAATGACACTCCAACGTTCAAGAGGAACCACGCCCCCGTCCAAAAGCTTATTCTCATCTATTAAAAGCCGAGAATCTTCTGAATTGAAAACTTATTCAAGAAGCTGGTGGTCATAGACGTAAGCTTCAGGCCTCCAAACAAACTCCTCCATCGTCACATTGTAGTCTTTCATCAACGGCCGTCCTGAAGCCAATATAATTCCGAAGGAAGTCATTGAGCCTCATTTTGGTGCCGAGACTGTCTCCGTCTAGCAGTGCACCTTCCACCCGACGGTCAGGAGTCCACTGCGGTAGCTCTTTACTCTCCGCCACGTGTCGAGTCGCAGCGTCGGAACCATCACCAGAGCCGCTGCAAGGCGCCACCACAACACCCGTGCGGCAAAGCATCCCATTCGCACCGCCCAACCGCGGCCTGCAGGTGCCGCTGGCTCCAAAGGACAGTCGCGGCTGTTTCGTCCCGCAGTCCCAATGGCGTTGGGCGTGGCACTCGCACGGCAGGGCGGTCAGTGCGCCACGCAGCCGCACTGCAACGCCTGTCAGTGGAACAGTCAAGGCCCACCGCCCCCGCAGCAACGCGAGGCGTGCGATCGGCAGAAACAACGCCACATTATCGCCATGTATATTTTATTTTATTCACGTTGTCTGTCCGTTTGCCCCATCACTGGCACCAAAAATAAGTGCACACCTTCACAGAGGGAGGAGTAAAAAGGAAAAAAAGAAAACACGATCCCACCGTCACGCAGCGGGTCAACACTCTCCTCCACCCACAGCCATTGCCGCACAGGAGACCGCAGTCACACCGCAAAGGAAGCACCACAATTTGCACCACACCATCGTGCAGTGAAAAATGGGCGAAACGCGGCCAGGCATCGCCCCGCTCCATTTCCCCGCCCCTCAGGTTTTGCGTGCCCGCACAAAGTAGCAAACAGAATCAGAGTGCACACAAACCCAATCAACACCCTCACTCGCTGAAGCACGTTACTTCGCATGGAGTGACAACATTTGGGGACACAACAGCAGTAGCAGGCTGCATGCAATCTCCCTGCCAACCCTGCGAAGAGACACAACAACTCTGCGGAGTAAAAGTGGCAGCCCCTCGGTGTTGCCCGCAGTCCACATGGCAAAAAGAATTCCACGCACGCATAGCTCCGGACTCCTCGCTGTTTGAGTGCCCAACAGAACATGGGAAAAATACCTGCGCGCAAGATGGGATTAAACACGTGAAAGCGTCAGCCTGTTTTCTCCGATGGCGTTGGCGAGCAGTCCCACACAATCCAATCAAAGTGGCACGCCGGACAGAATGGCGTCCGTCAATCAATAGAAAAATGCGACACTGAAAGGGAGCAGAGAAGAGCTGGCAAATGCGACTGCCAGTGACAACCGTAAGCAATCCCGCCAGCACCAACTGAGGTGCCGAGGAGCACGTTTGTGTAGAACTGGCCGTCAGGCAGAGAGGACAAATAAAACAAGAGGGCAGCAAACCCTCTCGTTCAATGTCTCCTGACCGCGACACCAGAATCAAAATACAATGGACGATAAGAGCGGCAACGCCTTCTCCAAAACACCTTGTCAAGAAGCCGCAGGACCTCAGGAAGGGAGGAAGGCAGCGGCGGCAGCCACAGCGGGGGAAGCAATAAAACGGCTGGCAGGCACCTTCACGTCGAAGCGCACACCACATCCGAGTGGGCTGGGAGCACAGATCGAACCGCTCGGAAACACACGCATCAAATCGGCAAAAAAAAGCCGCGTTGAATCGACAGGAGCTCCCCACCCAAAACAAATTTAAAAAGTAGCGTTTTTCAAGGGGGAATCCGCTTTTCCGACGACGGCACGGACGCCTCGCAGGAATTTCTTGCAAATCTCCCTTCGCAGGTCCGCAAGAAAACGCAGCGGAATAAAAAGTGAGCGCAACGACGCAAAAAAATAAATAATCCTCCCAACCGACCAGGTGGCAAGCCGCCCTCGCGCAAGTGGAAAAAACACAACTTCACTCCGGTCTTGTAGTGGTGGTCGTCTCGCAACATCTTCTTCCTTCTCGTCGCAGTGCACATCCCCCTCCAACAAAGCATTTGTTCGAGCCATGCTCCTGCGGCCAAACATCGCGCTGCTGGATCC